ACCCACCAATGTCAAGGACTTTCTCGTCCTTTCATTGTTCATAAATTAATTAAAATATAAATAATTGATTCACGAAAAGAAAAGCCCCTTTTGATTTTCAAAAATTCAAATATCAAGCTGTGAACATATCTAAATTTATTCGGGTGGGGAAATCTACAACACCAATGTCAAGGACTTTCTTGTCATTTCATTGTTCATAAATTAATTAAAATATAAATAATCGATTCACGAAAAGAAAACCCCCCTCTTGATTTTCAAAAATTCAAATATCAAGCTGTGAACATATTTGAATTTATTCGGGTGGAAAATTAAGGGGAAAACCGTTACTCCTCAAAACTATTCGGGTGAAATTCGATCATTCGAGTCGGGTGGGAAACCGTCACTCCTCAAAACTAGTCGGGTGAAATTCTATCACCCAAGTCGGTTGGAAAATTAAGGGGAAGACCGTCACTTCTCAAAACTAGTAGGGTGAAATTCGATCACCCGAGTCACCAGAAAAAAAAAATCAAGTGCCAAGCAAGGAATATTAATAGTCCAATCTATTGTTCTATTAGTAAATTCGACACAACCTTAAAATGGATTGAATAGATTATTTACTTTCCATCATATTGTGAAATTAGTATTCCATTACATACATTGTCCAATATCTTAATAATTATCACATGATTGTCATGGTAACATTTTTTGTCTTATAATTTTGGACACCAATTCAACTTGGAAAGCAAAGAATGACTTCATACATTGAATATGCGAAAGTCATATGATGACATATTTTTACGCTTTTTTATTTGAAGTATGATTATACAATTATACTGTGACAATGTAATTTTTCATGTCCTTTTTCTCTATGTATTAGATGCATTAGCTGGTTTAATCAAGTTATCAAGAACATGTCTACTTGTAACTTAAAAATCATAAAAGGAAAGAAATCGTAAAAACTACTTTAAAACGAATTAATCTTCAAAATTGATTGATTCGCAGTTAAACCAACAAATTTAACGAACTAAATCAAAACTAGAAGATTGACGCCAAAATTCTGAAATCGTTTATTTATTTAAGCCTATGTTTGTTTCCCATTTTTAGTAAATGGGAACGCATTTTTAGACCGTTGTTTTCTTGCAATTTTTACAAATTGTGAGAGGTCCGTCAACAAGAACGGCTTAATTTCTTCTAAAATGTAGAAAAAAATGGCCAATAAACAGGGGCTAAGTTTTGTTTATTCATCCTTTTCAATCAATACTTTGATTTTTTAAAAGTTGATGAAGGGAGATTTTTTAGAAGGGAACATCTCACCGTAGGGTATACTAACAAGAGTGACTCACAAACACGAGACAATGTCCCACCAATTATATATTGGCCAGATCTTTTCTCCTTTTATTATGTTCTCATAATTTTATTGTTAAAAAAAGATCAATTTTACCTTCATTCACACTCTACCCTAATTTCCCAAACAACCCATCAAATAAAAATAAATACCCTTTTTTCTTCGCCACGCTTCTCTTCTTGCAGTCTTGCCTCCCTTAGCGCTTTGCCTTAGCCTTTTTCTTTAATCGTCAATACAAAACTACATGGATCTCTTCAAATCTCAACCCATTTTCTGAATATTTTTACATCTCAGACATATGGCCTTCGTTTTTCTCACCCATATCAAACTTCTTTTCATTTTTCTCTAAAATATTTAAGCCTTTTACTCATTTACTTTCATCACTGCTGAAACCATTAATTTAAACAGAAAATCCCATCTGATATTGGGTTTTGATTGGTTTAATTAGATTTTCAAGAAACGACTGTTTCTATCATTGATGCATGTCGCAGTTATGTTTTACAAGGTCAGCTTCATTTGGTATGTTTCTCTCTGTGTTTTCATCTCTTAAGCATCATATGTATAGAAATATATAGTTTCCTTATGGGTTATGGTCAAGATTCAATCTTTTGTGATTTAATTGCATGTACAGTTAGATTTATATATACGTGGGTTATTTATTCTCTCCGTGAATTTTTCAAGTTTTTCATGAACTGGATTTATTTTTGTTTGGAGTACTGGGTGTTTTTATAAGGAGGATTTGTTTATATATTATTTCGGGGATCTTGTGCTGGTTTTTGTTGTTTGAGATTTACTTTGTTAGTAATTTAGTTCATATCAGTTCAATTTGAATTTTCTTTTTGTTTCTCTGGTTGTCGTGTCTTTCATGGATTATATATATATATAGTTGGTTGGATATGCAGGTTGGATTTTTCTGTACTGTTTCTCAGCTTTTTCCAGCTAACATCGGAAAATAATTGAGTAGCTCAAAGAACACTGCTAAAATCTTACGATCTTTAACATTACTTTTGTAGATTTTTTTTTACCGTTTGTTTAAGTTGCTGATTTGAAAAATGGGTAGAGGAAGAGGAAAAGGTAAGAAACAATCGGCTATTGCTGCTCGTGATGATGTTGGAAGTGGCGAGGATGAGAAGATACCATCTAGGAGAAGAGGAAGGCCACAAAAACCATTGAAGGATGAATTTGAGGAAGAAGATGAAGTCAAGAAGATAGAAGAAGAGGAAGAAAATGGCCAGGATTCGAAAAGTTCCGGATTGAATAGAAGTACTAAGAATCTAGCTGCTACAGAGAAAGGCCGAAAAAGGATAAGGCCTTCTCAAGTCAATGAAAATGCAGATTTAGTGAAAGAGGAAAATGGCGTGGGAATCAAAACTAACGCTTCTGACTTGATCAAGTCCGTTGGGTTCAGACCAAATAGAAGCAGGAGGAAAAATAAGCCTAGGCGTGCTGCTGAAGTCGGCGTTGAGTGCAAATGAAGTTTTTGTTTCACAGAATTGAGTTGTCACCTTCATACATGGGGGTTTCAGATTCAGTATTTCCTTAATCTTTTTTATGTCTTTTTCTTGTGCCTTTCAGAAGTTCTCATAAATTGATGTGTTTTAGCTATGACATGAGACTGGGGCAAGTAGTTTGTGGTTCTGGTATTAGATTTATAGCTAGCTTCTCTATATGTTTCCCTAAAAAATTTAAGCCTTTTTCTTATTTACTTCCATCACTGCTGAAACCATTAATTTAAGCAGAAAAACCCATCTGATATTGGGTTTTGATTGGTTTAATTAGATTTTCAAGAAACGACTTTTCTATCATTGATGCATGTCGCAGTTATGTCTTACAAGGTCAGCTTCATTTGGTATGTTTCTCTCTGTGTTTTCATCTCTTATGCATCATATGTATAGAAATATATAGTTTCCTTATGGGTTATGGTCAAGATTCAATCTTATGTGATTTAATTGCATGTACAGTTAGATTTATATATACGTGGGTTATTTATTCTCTCCGTGAATTTTTCAAGTTTTTCATGAACTGGATTTATTTTTGTTTGGTGTACTGGGTGTTTTTATAAGGAGGATTTGTTTATATATTATTTCGGGGATCTTGTGCTGGTTTTTGTTGTTTGAGATTTACTTTGTTAGTAATTTAGTTCATATCAGTTCAATTTGAATTTTCTTTTTGTTTCTCTGGTTGTCGTGTCTTTCATGGATTATATATATATATAGTTGGTTGGATATGCAGGTTGGATTTTTCTGTACTGTTTCTCAGCTTTTTCCAGCTAACATCGGAAAACAATTGAGTAGCTCAAAGAACACTGCTAAAATCTTACGATCTTTAACATTACTTTTGTAGATTTTTTTTTTACCGTTTGTTTAAGTTGCTGATTTAAAAAATGGGTAGAGGGAGAGGAAAAGGTAAGAAACAATCGGCTATTGCTGCTCGTGATGATGTTGGAAGCGGCGAGGATGAGAAGATACCATCTAGGAGAAGAGGAAGGCCACAAAAACCATTGAAGGATGAATTTGAGGAAGAAGATGAAGTCAAGAAGATAGAAGAAGAGGAAGAAAATGGCCAGGATTCGAAAAGTTCCGCATTGAATAGAAGTACTAAGAATCTAGCTGCTGCAGAGAAAGGCCGAAAAAGGATAAGGCCTTCTCAAGTCAATGAAAATGCAGATTTAGTGAAAGAGGAAAATGGCGTGGGAATCAAAACTAACGCTCCTGACTTGATCAAGTCCGTTGGGTTCAGACCAAATAGAAGCAGGAGGAAAAATAAGCCTAGGCGTGCTGCTGAAGTCGGTGTTGAGTGCAAATGAAGTTTTTGTTTCACAGAATTGAGTTGTTCCCTTCATACATGGGGGTTTCAAATTCAGTATTTCCTTAATCTTTTTTATGTCTTTTTCTTGTGCCTTTCAGAAGTTCTCATAAATTGATGTGTTTTAGCTATGACGTGAGACTGGGGCAAGTAGTTTGTGGTTCTGGTATTAGATTTATAGCTAGTTTCTCTATATGAGTATTTTGTGCTGAATATTTGTAATCCTTTGCTCCCATAACTCCATTATATGTTGTATTTTTGTGTCTGTTTTATGCTGTAATCTGGTGAAAAGCTTCTGTCTTGACTCTCCAATTTTGTCCTATGAGAATTTCTAGTTAACACAGTGTTAAGATATTCCCTTTTTTATGATATTGCAAAGAATATGAAAATGTTCTATACTCGGGTGAAGTGTTAGCATTCATCGTTCATTTATGCTTAATGTATTTTGTTGAGTTTAGACGAGACTAGTATTTCTTGTATCTTCTTGAAGTTCACTGTGAAGGAAAGAACGGATCTTTATGCAGTCGCGTTTTGTGTTTTGTGCAACGAAATATTAGTTTCCATAGAGTTGTCTATTACGCTGTGATAGTCTATATTTCCTGTTTGTTACTTCTATTTCGTTTGTAGTAGATTATGCTTAAGATTCTGGGAGATACTGTTGCTCCAGCTTTGCAGCGATGGAGTACTGGTTGGGATAATTCTTGATGCTCTTGCCAATGAAGTAAAGAAAGACTCCCATATCACCTGAGTGTCTATCCTAGCTGACGTTCAAACGCTATGCTGCAACGTTTGTTCTTGTTTTCTTCATATCTTGGAGAAAAAACGGAAAATATAAAAATGACTTGCTTGTTTCATTCTATAAACATCCTGGTATGCCATATGCCATATCTTTGTTAGAGGGAACGCATCAAGATTTATCTGTAGCATTGCCCTTGGATACTCTGTGGAACTGCAGATTTTACTTTGACTTAATGGCATTTAGTTTGAAAGCACCATCCTCTTGATGATGACTGCAATTCATGAATTGAAATGTGTTGTAATGCATTATAAAATAGCTTTCTTCTCATTCATGCTTGTGCTTGTGAGAGTACTGCAAAGTATTAATAAAGAACACACACACACACAAATCTTATTTGATGTAGAGATTATTTCAAGCTCTTGACACTTTCTTACTACGCTACAATTTTTCTTAGCATTTGAATTCCTAACATTTCGATTTACTTGTTTGGAAGAGGTTTTTTTTTTTCTCAAGTAAAAAATGATTTTTTGTTTGAGAACGTGTGGTTAAAAAGTAAAGAAATAATTTGAATCTCAAAGAACGTGTAGATGGAAATGATTTTTGGGGAGAAAATCTCTCAAGAAAATGATTTTGGAGGAAAAATCACTCCGAAACAAGCTTCTAACCTCTCATGCTGACTGCTTTGAGAGAATATTTCTGTCAGAAAAAGGAGTCTACTAAAACAAAGTGCTAATTTTGTTATTTGATATAATCCAAATTGAACATCTTGACAGACCCATTAAGAATCCAATAAATGAGTTCAAGTGTTGAGGCCCACTATGGGAGTACTACTACGAGCCCATTAAAAGTGTTTCCCCGTACATTTTATTTTCAGTTTTTTTAGCTCACTCTTTCTTTCTATTTCTAGCACAAATCACTACCAGGCTAGCTCCCCCCCCCCCCTCCCCTTTCCCCCCCCCTTCTTTCGCCTGTTTGAGAGTGATTTTGAGAATTGATTTTTTGACGATTAGGAGAAAAGTGTGGCCACCTGTGAGAGGAGAAGTCAAATATGACAGCTGAAATAGTGAAATAACGATAAAAAAATAACTCCCAAACAGGTTGTTAATAAATGTAGTTGCGTAGATTGTTGATACGCATAAACATATATATATTTATGCTCACATCGATTCTTAATATATTATTTCTTAAAATTTTACCTTCGTCGTGGGAAATGATACAATTTTGTAATTCTAGGGTTCAATATCCCATAAATTTTATGTCAAGTGAATTGAGGTCTGCCCTTCTCAGAATTTTATTTCGTCATATATTTTTAGGAGTGTATTGCTAGAAATGTCCATACAGTGCTGCATAGAGTGAGTATCATATAGTGGCGATAACATGTTTCAAATATTGCTTGTGGACTGAGATTTTTAATTGTGAGAGGCTTTTCCTCTTTCCTCCGACTTTTTACTATTGCAACATGTTTTTGTACAATACCACAGCATCTTTGACATCCCCTATGCTTACAAAATTTAGCCATTAATTGGAAAAAGTGTTGTTAAAATCGATATATAAAAATCTGTCAATTCACTTGACGTCACACTTGATGAAAAAATTTAACTTCAATTTCTGTTTATTTTACCTTAAAGAATTTCTAGAAAAATAGCGTATTCAGTGGCTGGGAACCTTTGGTGGCTCTTATTTTTACGCAATTGTAGTTCTTACGCATTTGGAAGACAGCCACGGATGCGGAGGAACTTGGGCACATGGAGGATGTGGATTCTCTGGTTGCTAGCACAATTTGGAGGTACCATTTTTGCTACTGGGCATAATGTGCCTCGTGTTGAGAGGAGAATTGCTCTTCCCGATCTGAAGACTATGGGTAACAATGGGATCACGTTCGCTGCAATTGGCGGAGTCTACATTGGTATAGAGCAGTTGGTCCAGAAGTATAGGACGAAAAGAGACTTTGTTAATGGAGCTGTTGCTGGTGCTTCTTATTTTGGGTTACGAAGGTGAACTTTACCTTCTTGTTTTAAGACCATTCTTCTGGTGATTTTGAGAACGAATTATTTTTTAAAGAGTTTATGCGCCGGTGTGGATTTGTGATTATCCATGCATGTGTTTATGTATGTACACAACAACAAAAGTGTTCAATAAATTGTCTGTACATGTAAATGTGCACATAAAATATGATGATTCAAGTTTTTTGCAGGGAAAGAACGTTGTCATCCAGACTATGTTGTTCTTACTTCTTACGGCCCTCCTTGCCCACACTGTAAAGACTGCTTTTTTAAAGTACATATGCTCTACCTTTTGGAAAGATGTTCGTGCATGTGTGCTTCTTTTAGTAGAAGAATAGGTGTTTTTTCAAATTCTTAGAGACAGTATTGCTAAATATTTATGGACATAGGAACAGAATTGTTTGCTTTGTCGAGTGCCGGACAGTTTCTGTCTCTTGTTCATTGACAATTGTTCTGGAATTTCGAAGGATGACAGTGTTTTTATTTGATTTTTTCTTCTAGTGTGGATTGTGATGTTTTTGTTTGAGGCATCTTCGCTGTTCATGGGTGTTGGGTATTTTTGGTAAGTGATACCCAAATTCCCTAGACAATGATGAAAATCGAGGCCCGTTTAACTTCATAGGCTATAAGCCTAATATTGAAGAACATATTGGACCCACACCACAATTGATGTAACCCAATTGTGTTAGGTATTTGGAGGAAATCAGCCCATTGGGCTAGATGCTCAATACCCGACTATGGAGATAAATGAAATCACAAAAGATAGAATTGGTTGCAAATAATTATCTCGTGATAATTATCCTATCCCTACTGTTTCTGTTGGACTCAAATTTAAACTTCCCTGTTATCTTGGAGATTTGCTTTCCCTCGTGATAATATACAAGAGTTTTATATATCTAAAAACTCAACCAATTTAAAAAGAGAGAGAAGCCAGCTGCCTTCTTCTTCTAAGCGTGAGAACTTTTCTGCAAAAGAAAAAAAGAGACTTCCTTCTCTGTGAAAACCGAAGTCGACCTTTGTGGTGTGCCTTTTCTTCTTCGTGAATGAAAAAGTCTCCCAATTGAAGTTACCTTTGTGGTGTTGGGTCGAAGATTTCTGAGCCGAATTAAAAAGGGGGATTTCGTTTCATTTTCGTCCATTACATTTTAGTTCACTGCTTCATTTTGGTTTCTTGAATTCCATTACATTTATTTGATTTAATCCTTCATTAACCTTTGTTGTGTGGTTGCAGGTTGGATTAAAAACAACAAATTGGTATCAGAGCTTGGTGGTGGTGGAATTCAGACAAAAAACTGGCCAGAAACTGAAGGAGAAGAAAACCCGTTCGAAAATTTTTGAAAAACCCGAGGCTAAAAACTCCAATTCCGGCCAAACTACTAACCATCCGGGAAAACTGAGGCCAGACCCATAACCAGCAGGTGGAGGCGCTCCTGGTGGTGGCGATTTTTTCCGGCGACGGCGCGTGGTGGTCCGGCGGCGGCGCGTGGAGATTCCGGTGGAGGCGCGTGGAGCCGATTCCGGCGAAACTGTCTTCAGGCAGTTTGTTCCTCTTGTCATTTCTAACATTTTTCGTGTTGGAAGTTTTCTGTTTCAGGTTACGTAGAAAAAGTTGGACGATTTTGCCCTTGGTGGTCGCTGGTCCTATCTGCAGTACATTTACTGAATTACTTTAGGCCAAGATTGCGGTCCTAAAGCAGTAAATTCGCATCTCTCGTAGCTTACGGACTCAGAAAAGTCCGCTCTGGTAAATTGGCTGAAACTTTTAAATTATCGCAATAGTAGATCATCGTGTGGGGTGATCATTAGGATTGGGGGTTGTCATTGCTTGGCAACCATTGCTTGATGCTAGAATCTAGGATTACTTGCCAATATTTGTTTAACTTCTAAGTGAAATTATTTATTGTGTTTAGAATTTGTTGAACGTTGTTGCGTTTTAAATCTCATATTATTTAGACTTGTACTCGGACTCCTATTCTAGTTTCTTCCCTTGACCTGAGAACGTGATTCTCACGGAATCCTGGGCTTCTAGAAATAGAGTATTATTGTGAAACCATAGGATTTCTTGTTACTTTGTGTAATCTGTGTAACCTGTGATCTTTTACATATCGAATTTTGTGTTCTGTGCATTTTTGAGTAAGATGTCGACACATCACTTTGAGTTGGGTGTCTTTAATGGTAAAGGAGATTTTTCAATTTGGCAACAGAAAATGAAAGGCATTCTTGTTCAACAAAAAGTTTCTAAAGCAATTGATGATTCTTTTCCTGCAACTTTGACTGATGAAGAAAAAGAAAATTTGGATGAATTGGCATATACTTCTATAATTTTACACTTGTCTGACGCGGTATTAAGAAAAGTTGGTAAATTAAAATCAGCTCAAGAACTTTGGGAAAAATTGGTGGAACTTTATGTTTCTAAGTCCACTCCAAACAAACTTTTTCTACTTGAAAACTTTTTTAGTTTCAAAATTGATTCTTCAAAAGATTTGGATGACAATTTAGATATTTTCAATAAACTTGTGCAAGATATCAATAACTGTGGTGAAAAAGTATCTGAAGAATATAAGGCTATCATTTTGTTAAATGCTATACCTGATACTTATAGAGAGGTTAAAAGTGCTATTAAATACGGGAGAGATACTTCAACACCTGAAATTGTCATAGACTCGTTAAGAAATAAAGATATGGAATTGCGAGCCGAAAGAGTCGAGAGAAAAAGTGGTGAGGTTCATATGATGAGAGGTAGGTCTCAGTCTAGAACTCATGATAACCAAAGTGGATACGCATTTCAATGGATTAAACCTTTAATATTAGACAATTTGTTACACGTCAGACATTGGGTGGGTTATGATTTATCTACTTTCTGGTTAACTTTTTAAAATGAAATTTTGAAATGATATTAGAGTTAAGTCTCAAATTTATCTTTGTACGTTGACATAGTAAATAAATTTGGACTCTTCTACACTTATAGAAGATAAGGTCACAGAATGTTTACAGACATTTCACAATTTTTGAGCCCACACATATTTTTGGTATTTTTTATATATCATGGGGTCTCCACACATATCTCTATTTTGGTGGAGTTCTGTAAGAAAAATTTCTGTACATATGGAAAAACTCAATAAATTTTCAGTTTCTGTTGAACAAAAGTGAGATGGATAAGATGGATGAAAAAGTGTGATTAGTTCTTAAGCTATTGTGTCCAAATAAGTGTCTGTTCGATAATAATTACGAAAATTATTTTTTTTATCGTTAGGCAGAGAAGTGGATCCTACCTGTGATTGAAGAAGTCAAAAATGACAATTAACTTGGGAAAATAACGATCAAAAGATTGATTTTTTGAGGTGAAAAATCAGGACCAAACGAGAATTTATAAGGTGGCTCATGACATAATAGAAAAGTAAGGCTTTAACAGAGTGTATGTTACTTCTTATTTTGAGAAAAAGGTGTCTGGTAAATCATTTCTTTAAGGGGTTAAATATGATATTGTTCTTTGGTTGGTGAATGATGATAATTTGTTGAAAAAATGTAACGAATATTTCCTGTCGGATTAATACTCTTAAGATATGATTTCAGCACTTAACAAATATTTTTCCACTTAAAACGTTTTCTAAGAATAATTAAGTAGTCATAATTTTTCTGTTGGAAGTAAAATATGAAATTTCAACAACCCCACAAGATTACCTAGTAATTGTGATATAGTAACGAGTTTCTTCGAACCAAAAAAGAAGAAAAATAAAAAAAGAGAGAAAAATATGACTGAAATTCTTAGGCACCTCATGAAATCAGCTAGTGCTCTCATCGAACATCACGAGACTTTATCATCATAAAGTGCTCACGTTGAAAGCAGAAGAAGAATAAAATCGGACGTCCCTTTACATGAGAATCAAATTTATTTTTGGGATAATTGTAGCTATTGTCTCAAATATTTCATTTTTTCATAAACTTTATCCAAATCTATTATTTGTACCAAGCACAATTTTAAATCTTTTATTTCGTTTGCAGCAAATTGACCTCAATTGACTATTTATTACCCAAATTTTAAAAGCGTGAAATTGTAATTTTATATTTTCCAATAAAATAATTAAATTTTAAAAAAATAACTATTCATCTTCTTTCCTCACCCCATCCCCAAAACACACAAAAACCAATATTCAACCACCTTCCCGCCGCATTTACCCAGGAATTTTAAGTGCAACCATCACCGTCCCTAGATACAGTGGGCTAGTACTCTGACATAGAGATCTTTGAAAGGTTTAGAGTTCCGAGTTCTAAAAATAAAAAATTTAGGATCTCATTGTTATGACTTTCAAAGATTCAAGATTCAAGTGCAATTGATATATTTTTTTCTTCAACTCTAATCTACATATATATTTGACACAATAAACTAAAATTAAGTAAATTGACGAACTTTATATATTTATTTTAACAAAGCATGTCTAATATTGTTCAATTTGTCTACTTTATTGCAACTTTTAAATTCAAGACTACATATTGTTGTCTCGTGAATTTGGTATAAACTCAACATATTAATTACAATATTTACTTAAGTTAACTCATTAAATGCAGTCAAATAAAAAAATCTAGACTTGTAGGAAAAGCCAACCCAAATTTTATGAGATTAACTCAACAGACGATTATGCAATTTATTTGAGATAATTTAATGGGAAGATTAGTTTAATCCGTAACTATTTGAACCATTTTATTTTATTTTTTTTCTTTTTTTCTTTTCGGTCAAAAACGCCAACAGAGGCTTCGGCCCGACGTCCACGGAGCTGGCACGTGCCATGTCCCCGACCATTGTCCTCGCGCGCGCCCCCATGGTCAATTATTGAGTTAATTGTCCCAATTATCACCAAACTTATTTTTGTGTCTTTCATTGCGTACCAAAATTTAAAATGTAGAGTTTTGATCACCAAATTTACTCAAATATTGCATGTTACCCACTCAACTAACATTTGTTGCAAACCTTTAACGGAATTAGTGATATGGCTAAAGGAGTGCAAAAATGGCGTTCTGTCACACTGTTAACAAATTATCACGTCGTCGATTGTTCACAAAACTTTGAATTTTTTTTTTTGATTACACACTGGTCTTTGATGTGATTGAATTTTGGTTACTAAAAATCTAAAGCATTTCTCATTACTCACTAAACTTTGGAAATGTCTTCAACTGCTTATTAAACTTTGAAAACGTCTTCAATTGATTATTGAAATTTGAGATGGTCTATTTTTGACCACTACACTTATAAAAATGATGTTGGCTTATTGTTTATTAAAAAAATAAATGTACCGCAAGCGTAACGGTTATGTAAAAGTAATAAAGTGGACAATCGAATCCGAATTGTTGATCCCACGTTAAATAGTACTCAAATACACAGTAGTTAAATTTAATTTCAACACATTTTTGTAAAATTTTAAACTATTTTAATCATTTGGAATAATTCAAATTTATTGTATGTTTCATTGTTAAAATTAAATTAAATTAAATTTTAGATTTTACAACGAAACACACAATAAATTTAATTAAGTAGATATTGCAACAAAGTAGACATAAGTTTTAATTAAACTTTTTGATTTTTGTATTTTAATTAAATTTATTGTGTGTTTTGTTGTAAAATTTAAATTTAATTTAATATCAACAACGAAACACACGATAAATTTTTTCAAATGATGAAAATAGTTTAAAATTTTCTGAAAATATGTTAAAATAAAATTCAACTATTGTGCAATTGAGTAGTCATTTTTCATGGGATCAACAATTCAAACTTGTTTGTTCGCTTTATTACTTTTACGCAACCTGTGCGCTTGCTACACACTTTTTTTTTAATGAACAATAGGGCGACATTTTTAGAAGTTTAGTAGCCAAAATTTGATCATCTAAGATATTTTTTTCAAAGTTTAGTGAATAATCAAAGATATTTTCAACATTTAGCGAGTAATGAAACAAACTTTTAAATTTGTATTGGCCAAAATTTAACCATCTCTAAATTCACTAAGCAATTGAAAATGTTTTCCAAATTTTGGTAATCAATGAAAGATGTAGCAATTTATTAATCGTGTGAGGGGACGTCACATGTATTTCATTAGCCACATAACTAATTTCGTTAAATGTTTGTAACGGATGTTATGTGAGTGAGTAACGTACAATGTTTGAATAAATATAGAGGTCAAAATTTAAAATTCGGTGAACAATTGAATACACGTACAAAAGTTTAATGACCATCGGGACAATTAAGTTGACTGTCAAATGACTCGGACAACATTTTAAAGTAAAAATGAAACACAGACAGACATACACCTGTACATACCACACACGTATCCACACGGTGATGTTTCACACACTACACACACTGAAGAATTCACAAAGCAGGTTCATCGGATCTCCCATAGACTTCTCCATCTATCATCTTCATCCGTTTACTTTCTCTCTCTAAAAAAAGGAAAAAGGCTCAGCAATCTCTCTAGACCCACTTAGACACCTACTCTGTTACTGTTTCTTCGCAACAACAAAAACAAAACCCTTATTTTCTTTTCCCTCTGTTGTTTCATTCTGTAACAGAACCTCATCGCCTCAGCTTCCATGAACCCTCTAGGTATATTCAACGCTTTATCTGTATATGTGCGTGTGCCCATATCTATATATGTATTTTATATGTGTAGTCTAAATCAAGTCATTCAAAAGAAAAACATATGGATTGATGTTACTGCGTTTTGGGTTTTAAATGCATTCTTGGATTTTTACTTGTTGGGCTTTTGAGGTTTAATGTGGGTATGTTTCATTTTTTACGTTCTAAAGTTCTAATCCTTTTTTTATATGTTTATTACTGTTTATGGCTTCATATGTCACGAATATGATTTGGTTGGGGTTTATGAATTTACGCACACAAGTGTATTTTAATTTTAATAAAATCTACACTTATTGTACACTCTGTTCGCTGTTTTCTACAGGGTTTCACCATTCAGATCTGAGATTTTGATTGGAGTTTTGGGTTTACGATATTCTTCTTTTTAAGGTTGTATATATAACAGAGATCTGAAGTTTTAGACTTGCTGTAATAACATTTTTTCTCTGTTTTAATTTGGCTCACTGCCTCATTAACTCTCTTTATACCTATGAGTACTTCAGGTTATTTCTGCTGAGATCCATTAAGGTGTTTTGGAATCTCTGTCATATTTCTTGAAACCTGGTTCTGGATATTGTGTTGTGTGGATAAAAAGAAACAAGCGAAGATATGCAGCGACCTCCACAAGAAGATTATTCTCTTAAGGAGACTAAACCACACCTTGGTGGAGGGAAGGTCACCGGAGATAAGCTCACAAGTACCTATGATCTTGTTGAGCAGATGGAGTACCTTTACGTTCGAGTTGTAAAGGCAAGAGATCTACCAGGGAAGGACGTGACTGGTAGTTGTGACCCTTTTGTTGAGGTTAGGCTTGGAAACTATAGGGGAATAACACGTCATTTTGAGAAGAAATCCAACCCTGAATGGAATCAGGTGTTTGCTTTCTCAAAGGAACGTATTCAAGCCACTGTGCTTGAGGTTACGGTGAAAGATAAGGATGTTGTGAAGGACGATTTTATGGGTCTTGTTTCGTTTGACTTGAATGAGATTCCTAAAAGGGTTCCCCCAGATAGTCCCTTGGCCCCACAGTGGTATAGGTTAGAGGATAGGAAGGGTAATAAGATTAGAGGAGAGCTGATGTTGGCTGTTTGGATGGGTACTCAAGCTGATGAAGCATTTCCCGATGCATGGCATTCGGATGCTGCCACAGTCAGTGGCACTGACAGTTTGGCAAATATCAGGTCAAAGGTCTACATAGCCCCTAAGCTGTGGTACCTGAGAGTCAATGTAATTGAAGCTCAGGACTTGCAGCCAACTGATAAAGGTCGATTTCCTGACGTTTTTGTGAAGGCCATCCTGGGAAATCAGATATTGAAGACTAGGGTGTCCATGAGCAAGAGTATCAATCCTATGTGGAATGAGGATTTGATGTTTGTTGCTGCAGAACCTTTTGAGGAGCCATTAATTTTGAGTGTGGAAGACAGAGTCGCACCCAATAAAGATGAGGTCCTGGGAAGATGTGCCATTCCTCTAGCAAATATACCCAGGAGACTGGATCATAAACCTTTGATTTCAAAGTGGTATAATCTTGAGAAACATATGATTGTTGAGGGTGAAAGGAAGAAGGAACTCAAGTTTGCCAGCAAAATTCATCTGAGAATATGGTTGGAGGGTGGTTACCATGTTTTGGATGAATCGACTCACTATAGCAGTGATCTTCGACCAACAGCAAAACAGTTATGGAAGTCCAGCATTGGGGTTCTTGAGTTAGGTATTTTGAGTGCTCATGGGTTGTCGCCGATGAAGAATAAAGATGGGCGGGCAATGACTGATGCTTATTGTGTTGCTAAGTATGGGCAGAAGTGGGTCAGAACGAGGACCATCATTGACAGTTTTACTCCCAAATGGAACGAACAATACACTTGGGAGGTTTATGATCCATGCACTGTCATAACTATTGGTGTATTTGATAATTGTCACTTACATGGTGGAGATAAATCTGGGAGTGATTCACGGATTGGAAAGGTCAGGATTCGCCTTTCTACCCTAGAAACAGATCGTGTGTACACACATTCATATCCCCTTCTACTTTTGCATTCTTCTGGGGTAAAAAAGATGGGTGAAATTCATTTGGCTGTTAGATTTACTTGTTCATCCTTGTTGAATATGATGTATAAGTACTCACAGCCATTGTTGCCCAAAATGCACTATATTCACCCATTAACTGTCAGTCAGCTCGACATCTTGAGACACCAGGCCACTCAGATTGTTTCCATGAGGCTTGGTCGTTCAGAGCCGCCTTTGAGGAGGGAGGTGGTGGAGTATATGCTGGACGTCGGTTCTCACATGTGGAGTATGAGGAGAAGCAAAGCAAACTTTAATAGAATCGTGGGAGTTTTAAGTGGGTTAATTGCTGTAGGAAAATGGTTTGATCAGATATGTAACTGGAAGAATCCCATTACCACAGTTCTGATTCACATTTTGTTCTTAATACTGGTTTTGTATCCCGAACTCATTTTGCCCACTATTTTCCTCTACTTATTCTTAATTGGAGTTTGGTACTACAGATGGAGGCCGAAGCATCCTCCCCACATGGATACTCGCCTCTCTGGCGCTGATATTGCTCTTCCTGATGAACTAGACGAGGAGTTCGACACTTTCCCTACTACTCGTCATCCAGATATCGTGAGGGTGAGGTATGACCGTCTGAGAAGCATTGCTGGGAAGATCCAGACTGTGGTTGGCGATTTGGCAACACAAGGGGAAAGGCTACAGTCTCTGCTGAGCTGGAGGGACCCAAGAGCTACAGCTTTATTCGTAATTTTCTGTTTGGTTGCTGCCATTGTTCTCTATGTAGCACCTTTCCAAGTAGTGGCACTTCTTACAGGGTTCTATGTTTTGAGGCATCCCAGATTCCGTCATAAGCTCCCTTCCGTGCCCCTTAACTTCTTCAGAAGGTTACCTGCCAGAACAGATTGCATGTTGTGAGCTATCTGTAGTTTATCCGCCTTAATCGAACCCCTAAATGGATCTTTTTTCTCTTTGGTACCCTGTAAGATGGGTAGGAAATATCTCCTTGGAACTTGCAGATGTTGTGGATTTGCAGTCTGTTTGCTAGGATTTCCTATGTAAAGTTGGTTTCGTAGCGACATATCCATGGTCATATGGAGTCGCACTAGTTGCATTTAATATGCTATGGACAATCATTTATCCTTTATTTCAAATGATGTATGCTTTTATTTCTCTTGCTCTTCAATGCTACTGGTTTTTCTTTTTTACTTGGCAACTCCGACTTTTTCACATTGTAATCCTTTTGCTCCTAACTTTATTTCGTCGAATTCTTGTCTCTAATCTTCCATTGATTGGTGCATTCCCTTTCTTACGACGATTCTTGTTAGTTTTTTATTTTTGTACTTCAAATGAACGAAAAATAGTTCTTTTGCCTTTATTTTTTGAAAAAAATTTATGATGGACGAATAAGTTATTTTTATGCTATCTTGATGAGTATTTTTGGATGGGAAGAGGAGTTGTGTTAATTAATAAAAAGTTGAGGATATGTATGCGTGAAAATAAATATTGAAATTCTTAAGTTCAAATTAAAATGTAAAGTTGTTTACATTATACTTGATAAAATAAGCTAGAGTCGAAATGATAGAAATAAATAATAAAATTGAAAAAATTTTGTTAGTTGATTTTCAATGTTATCATAGGCATTTAGTAAAGTGGAGGTTGAAATTTGATCTTTTGTGAATAAAAAATAAATGTGAAAGGGGGTTTCAGTTTCTCATCCACGCACCCATCGCGATCCCTGAACCCTTTACGAAAGGATATTTATAAATTATTTAAATATCCTTAACTGGCATTTTGATGAATTTTAAAAAAATTATAAATTTTAATGAATTTCGTGAATTTTAATAAATTTCTACAATATTCATAAGAATATGGCTGAAAATAATGAAATTGTTTAAGAAATTCGTTCAAAATTTTTAAAGTTCATGAAATTCTTATAAATCGGCAATTTTTTTTCAAGAAAATACTTGAATTTTAAATATTTAATTGAAATTCATTAAAATCTGACCTGACCTCCTGAAACAATTTTTGACATGACTCATGAGTCTTTAAGAGTCTATTTGATTTTGAAAAGATTTTTTTGACAAAAGTGAGGTTCACTCGTGAGAGAAAAAGTTAAATATGACGATTGAAATAATGAAATAACGGTTATAAATCAATTTTTTGGTTGAAAAATCGCTCCCAAACAGGCCCTAAATATTTTAATTGATGCCTTGATTGATTAGTCTAATTTGAAACTGAAGTCGCCTCCGTTCGAATTATCATTTTGTAACTTTGGCTCGAGCTGGAGAAATCAGAACAAGGACTGGAGAACAGACGAGCATTGTCGACGTCGATTCATCTGGACCATCCGTTGATTCTACTAAAATTGATGCAATATCTCGTCCGGGTCACTTATATTTAGTGGTAATCTCATGAGTTTAGATTTTATTATTATTATTATTATTATTATTTTTTGGGGGAAACTTTCAGCTATTAAATTGGCAGCGTATCCTTTTTTTTTTTTTTTTTATTGTGGACCTCTGTATTTATATTAATTGACTTTAATTTTACGTGGTTGGTTTCTCTAATCTTTACTCTACTAATAATGAGGATTAATTGACCTCCAATGATGATGAATTATTCAATTGCAAGCACATCGTATCATCAATTTACCGTTGGGCGTCAATGATTATTGTTTTTCCTTAGATTATTTGATTTTTTTTTCTTGTACGTATATTGAAAGAAGAAATTTACCCATTGTTGTGCATACTATGAGTTATTTACTGAGCATGCACGTTATTATGTGTTCCTGCAACAATTGTTCTGTTTTTTCTTAAAGTTTATTTGGGCATCATGCATTTGTATAATTATATAGTTATTAGTTCCTTATGGACTTCATCAAGTACTTCGGAATATTGGATTTGCATGTTCCAGATCGTTTCTTGATTTGATGTGGTGTTTTGATTGAGTCACCAACAGGAATACAGGAAACTAGAAATCAAATTAACTCTAACAAGCAGTTGAAGAACTGTACACCGAGACGAAATTGACAGGAAAAAAAAATACTTGGAAGAAATATGTTTGATGCACGGAAACAAATATAACTGAACATTAAAAAAATTCAGATTGATACATTGAAACAACGAACTTGTAAAATGACATTTCAGAGCATGCTGTCAACTCGAGCTGGCAAACGGCGGAAGAAATTGATGGGTGCTGAAGGCAGTTTGCTCCTAAATCTTGGATGCCTTAGTAGATACAAGCCTGTTAAAAATATAATTATTTTGAAGGGTGTCACATAAAGAATAACTGCCACACATAGGCAGAAAACTATGAAGATGCTGGTTGCTCTAGGATCTCTCCAGCTGAGCAGAGCATGAAACCTCTCCCCCTGGGTTGCCATGTCTCCTACTACTGTTTGGATTCTTCCCGCCATACTTCTTAGTCTATCATACCTCATTCGTATTACATCTTGAGGCCTGGAGGTGGGGAAAGTGTCGAACTCTTCATCTAGCTCATCTAGGTGAACTGCTTCTGCCCAAGAAAGTTTGGTGTCCATGTGTGGAGGATGCCTGGGCCTGAACCGGTAATTCCATATGCCTATCAGAAACATGTAAAGAAACACGGTTGGGAGGATTAATTCTGGATAGCAGATCAATATGCAAAATAGGACATGGACTAGAATAGTAGTGATGGGGTTCTTCCATTGACAAACATCACCAAGCCACTTGCTTATGGAGATCATCCCGGACAAGACTGAAATCATTCTGAAAAAGTTAGCTTTGCTTCTTCTCATGCTCCACATGTGGGAATCTACATCAAGCATGTATTCCACAACCTCTTTCCTCAGAGGAGGTTCAGCTCGCCCAAGCCTTGATCCTACAATGTTCATCGCCTGATATCTCAAACTATCTAGTTGTCTTACAGTGAAAGGATGCAGATAATGCATTTTTGGCAGCAAAGGACGGCTGTAAAGATATATCATGTGTGTGAGAGATAGACACGTGAATCGAAATGCTAGTTGGAGTTCACCCACTTTCTTCACACCAGTTGGTTGGAGGACAATGAGTGGATATGAATGAGTATAAATACGGTCAGTTTCTAGTGTGGATAGCCTGATTCTTACCTTTCCAATTCTGAAGTCCCTTCCAGGTCCATTTCCAGCTTGTGGTTTCTCGTTCCCTCCTAAGTGGCAGTTATCAAAAACTCCCAATGTGATCACCGTGCTAGGATCATAAACCTCCCATGTGTATTGCTCATTCCATTTGGGGCTGAAGTTTTCAACCACTGTTCTGGTTCTTACCCACTTTTGTCCATATCTAGCCACGCAATAAGCATCTGTTCTCCCTTGGCCATCCTTAGTTTTCATTGGTAGAAGCCCCTGTGCACTTAAGATGCCAACTTCAAGGATTCCAATTGGCTGCTTCCACAATTGCCTAGCAGTTGGCCGTTGATCACTGATGTACATGGTTGATTCATCTAGCACGTGGTAACCACCCTCTAGACAAGCTCTGAGATGAATTTTTGTTGAAAATTTGAGTTCCTTTCTTCTATCTCCCTCTAGAACTCCGAACCCAAACTTTTCAAGGTCGAACCAGCGAGAATGAACTGGTCGATGATCCAATCGTCTCTCGAATATGTGTAATGGCAAGCTTAATCTCCCAACAAGTTCATCCTTTAAAGGGCTCACTTTGTTTTCAACTGTGAGCACTAATTGCTCTTCAAAAGGTTCAGCCACTACAAAGATTAGGTCTTCATTCCAGAAAGGGTTGGTAGTTAGTGTAGGGCATAGTTTAGTCTTAAGCATCTGATTTCCAAGTTGGGCTTTTACAAAAACCTGAGGAAGTTGGCTTTTGTCTTGACATTCTACATCTTGTGCTTCTATAACATTGACTCTGAGGTACCACAGTTTAGGTGAAACGTACACCTTTGATCTGACACTGAAGACACCTTCTCCATGAACTGAAGCAGCATCTGAGTGCCAAGCTTCTGGAAAAGCTTCATCAGCTTGCGTTCCCATCCAAACAGCGAGCATAACCTCTCCTTTCACCTTTCTTTCTCCTCGACGATCTTCTAGTCTGTACCACTGAGGTGCCAAAGGGCTATCTGGTGGGACCCTAATAGGAACTTCATCCATGTCAAAAACAACCTTCCCAAGATAATCATCTTTTGCTATGATCTCTCTGTCTCTGACAAAAACTTCAAGAACTGATGCTTGAATCTTCTCTTTTGAGAATGCAAAGACATGGTTCCATTCAGGGTTTGTTTTCTTCGCAAAGTGCTGTGTTCTGCCTTTGTAATTCCCGAGTTTCACCTCTACATATGGATCACAGCTTCCCGTCACAGGATTTGTTGGCAGGTCTCTTGCTTTAACAACTCGAACATAAAGAAAATACATTTGTTCAACTAGGTCATAAGTGCTTGTGACTCTGTCACTGCCGATCCAACCTCCCCCACCGCGAACTCCTCCATGTGCCCACAGCTCCCCTAGCTGGGGTTTTGTGTCCTTAATTTTGAATTCATCTTGGGGATTGAAAGTTGCTCGACTGTTCATGGTGTGTCTCGTTAAGTAGTATGCCTGGAGATGATTCTTTACAAATCTTCAGCAGTTGTTCCAACGGTTGAGGTTAAATGGAGATTTGGAATTTCTCGTGTATGGCTTCTAGAGTTGTCTGGTTGGTGAGTTTCTTAGTAGTGGTATATACTACCTCTTCTATATAAAACCTTGATTTCTTTGTTAACCTACATTTTATAATCTAGAAAACACTAAAGGCATAATTTGGTTTGAGGTTTGATTGGGGCACTACTAGTGTGGAATGATTTAAAGTCTTTAGGCATTTGCTTTTTGAGAATTCAAAAATAGGTTGAGTTTCTTGCTTTTCAAGATTCTTGGCTTTGTTCAGGACTTTAGGCGCAAACTGCAGAAATTCAGACACCCCTCCCCCACCACACCCTTTTACCTTCTCTCCATTTGTTTATTCAATTGTATTATTAAAATTTTAATTTATTGAGACCTTTTTGTAGGAAATGCATTAGCTATTTCAACAAGGGTAGTGGAACGTGGATAGATATAGAAGTAAAAATTAAAGCTTATACACGACCCAGATCATACAGATGCTTTTATCCTTTATTCTTCATCTTTATCTGTTCTTTTAGCTCAACTTTGAGCTGTCGATGATACTTTTCTACTTTCTAGTTCCTTCATCAGAAATTAGAAAGTAAATCTTTGTTTTTGTAGGTAATATCTAATGTTTAGTTTTAACTTTCGGTAAAGTTCTTTTTGTTAATGCATTAAAATAAGTTTATTGTATTATAGACTCATAGTATTTCAACAGATCATAACTGCACCTGCTTGTTGCCAGCCTCGAGCATAAGATTCGAGCTGTTAATTGAGAGTCCAAAAATTAGTTCAAAGATGGCTATCGTCTCAATCTCACCGCCACATTTGAGTATGAGTGCACGTGGAGAAACTAGTTGCAAAGACATTGAAAAGGAGATACCCTCTAGAGAGACCTTCAAATACAGTATCCTGGGATTCCTAGAGTGATTGAACGTAGTTCTGGGTCTTCATTAGAAGCGACAAGTAATTAGCCTATTGTAGTCGTCCTAACTAAAGGGTCGGAATTGCGCAAAATCAGCTCAGATTTAAAAGTTTTTACGACATCAACCATAATCTCGACAACTTCTAGGACAATGTGATTCTTAGATCTGAATTCTCTTTAAGGGCAGTCGGATATAGCTTGATTCTCTAATTCTTAAATTTAACTATTATATATGCAAATTATTATTATTATTATTATTATTATTATTATTATTATTATTATTATTATTATTATTATTATTCACCCAGTTCGTCTCGCTCGCGTGAAGAAACAAGATTAATGAAGAGAATAATTGAGGTCGATGACATTGATAGTTGATGACCGACAATATAGATTGGTTCAAATGTGGGCTACCTCTCTCTTTCAGCTCCAATTTCGAAAGTTTATATCACAAAGAAAGAAGTGATTTTGGCAGTATCCTATATAGATTGGAATTAGATGTCGAGGACATCTCAATACTGTTTTGAGAAAACTATGATTTCATTTGGACCAACACATCTTGTGCAGATAGAGATCTTCTCTCTTGTTGAACTATGCTGCTTCTACTTGTAGTCACTATTCGCACGTATTGAAGAATGATCTGTTGATCCCTAACAAACATAAACGATTCAGAGCTGAGCCATTAGTTTAAGTGTTTGTTAGGAAGTTCTAAAAAGCTTATTTCGATAAAAAGAAGTGGTGCATATGAGTGGTGGAAGAGTGCATAGTAATTATGGATTGTAACATGTAATTAAAATTAATTATTGACTTCGACATCAACATTTTATCGTTTTTTAAAGCTTTCTCAAATAAATACTAAGGGTTGTTTGACGAAGGTTGAGATAAAAACTGATAAAATGTGTGGTCGAAAACTTGAATACAAGCTCTGCATCAGCAAGTTTTATGAATGTCACTGGCTGAAAATGAAGCTCTGTGTGTGTGCAGGTGCAAGCGGAAAATTACCTACTAAACTCTTCAGGGTTTAAATATCAAGTACTCTTTAAACAACTTTTTTGCCTCGTTGATGATTATTTTCTTGAGGAAGCTAAAAGCCAAACAGATTCAGTTAAAAAAGAAAATGGGATCAAATATCCTCCCGCCCAATAAGGGGAATCGTTTACAATCATCTGGCAATGGCGCTCCACACAAGCATCTGTTGTGAAAATACGATGTGTATTCTAAGTCTTGCAATCTCCCACCTTTCGGGATTGGACCGCAGAGCCCGTCGTAACTCACGTTCAAGCCATCCAATCCCAACTGAGTTAACCCTTCCGGAAGGCTCCCTATGATCCTATTATGGTTCACTTCGAAGAATGTTAAGCTGTACGGAAACTCCACCTCAGAAATATCAGACTGCAACATGTTCCTGTTGAGGTCAAGATATATTATGGTCTTGTTTTTACCCAACAATGATGATATGTCACCTTCGAGCTTGTTTCTTTGTAACTTGATCAAAGTGAAGTTCAAGTCACCCCATCCCCTTGGAATTGCGCCTCTGAACTGGTTGTGGGAGATAAAGATATTGAAGACTAGGGGTCAAATTCCCAAATGACTCGGGGATACTTCCTGTGAGTTTGTTTCGATCTAACCGAAGACCACTGAGGTTTCAGAGTTGGAAGAGTGATGAAGGGATCGAACCGGAAAAATTGTTGAAGGATAAGTCGAGAAACGATAAGTTTTTGAGTTGGCTAAGAAATGAAGGGATAGGGCCAGAGACATTAGTTGAGCTGATAATAAGATTTGTGAGCTTAGACAGCCTGACAATGGATATAGGAATATTTCCATTGAGGTTAGTGATTTTATGGAAGATTAGAGTTTCAAGATAAGGGAGATCGGCAATTTCTTCTGGGATTTGACCGGAGAGATTAGCTGAGACAAGGTGAAGATCATTGATGCGATTGGTTTCAGGTTCACAATCCACCGCGTACCAATGGCAACAATCGGTGTCCGGAACCCATGTGGCCATGTGGTAGGGGTTGTTAAAGGACTGAGGAGCACTTTTTTGTCAATGGGCTTACACCTTTCGCATAGACAGGAAGATGATAGAAAAACAAAAATGATAATGGAAATTCATACTGCTCTGTATGCTGGTAAATTGAGCTATAAGATAGTACTTGAAGAGTGAACGAATTCAGCAAATATTTATAAAGAATTTGGTAGGCAAAGTTTGGACTTTTACTCAAAGAAATGCTTCTTTAAAAATAATGTCTGTAATGTGTGTGAAGATGTTGACTGAAATGGATAACGTCTTGTTCTTTCTGGGATATATCATTGCATAGCCAACTTGGAAAATGAAAACGCGTATTGTGATTTTCTATTGAATTGACTATGAATATTTGATAGTAAAGATGGTGTAAACCACGTTTTGAGACGGTCTGGACAAGAGCACCTCTTGCCCGAAACAGACTTTCTCGACTTCCTGAGACTACGGCACAATCCTCACTGGACCCTACATATTTTGACATCTCTAATAGAATATCTGAAAAGAAATAAATTGTGTTCCTCCAGTTATGTTATCCAAGATTAATTTAGAATCTGCAATAAAAATTAAACCTCATACTATCAACAAGCCTTCTAGCCAATACGCACTTCATAACCCCTTTACTTGATGGAAATAAAAATTTTCAATTTGAGAAGGAAAATTCTGCAGAACATTTGTACGGGTTTGGCTAGAGACCCTTTGATATCTTTATGAAACAGCTTAATAAATTCCATTCATCATAGAAGTTATGATAGATATTAAACTCACCATTTTATTTTCTTCATCTTTGGAATTGAATATGTGACCATAAAGGGTTACATACCTTGTATTTGCTCTGATAGTTTAGTTTCTATAAAACAAGATTACGGAATTTTGAAATACAGACTGCTTAAAAGTTCAAATATTAAACTCTGCAGTATGTATATAACATAACAATCAATTGCAGGCAGGCAATGGAGCTCCACGGAGGCATTTGTTGTAGAAATAAGAACTAATGTCAAAGCTCTGCAATTTTCCACCCATTGGAATCTGACCACATAACCTGTTATAACTCACATTCAAATACTGTATATTCGAATTTGTCAAATCCTGCTGCAGACTCCCACTAATCCTATTATGATTTCTATCTGAAATGGTGGTGGAGTAATGCCTCATGATTTGCCTAGCGGCCTTTGGCTTTTTTGCTACTCCGACAGGCGTGTGTAACCTGAAAAGTGAGAGCGGGGCTTTCTCCCTAGTTTTACCTCCGGCGTAAGAATCAGTATATGTATTAGGAGAAAATAAAGTCAGAATTCAGATGGCTGAAAAAAATGCAGTTATCCATACCTATGTTGCCATTGTGGGTATTTATAGACGTTGGAAGCCGAGTGAGAGCCAAGTGATTGTGGTGCCATGTGTCCCCACGTTGGTCTTCCCATTACCCCCACATTCTGAGTGGGGGGTCTAAACTTCCCGCCGAATGTTGTGCTCGTAGTAACCGCTACGTGACCTTGTCAATTCATCAAAGATTTTACAGCTAAGTGTTGATATGGCCCTATAGATAATTTCATGCCGGTCGATGGTCTCGCATTAAGGTAAAGTACTCGGGGGTCGATGGTCGCTCGTAGAGGTAGAGCACTCGGGGGGTTGATGGTATCTCGTAGAGGTAGAGCGCACTCGGGGGGTCGATAGTCTCTCGTAGAGGTAGAGCACCCGAGGGGATCGATGGTCTAGCGTAGAGGTCGAGCGTCCCCGGTGGATCGATGGTCTAGCGTAGAGGTCGAGTGCCCCCAGGGGTCGACAGTCTCTCGTAGAGGTAGAGCACTCGGGAGGTCGACGGTCTCTCGTAGAGGTAGAGCGTCCCCGAGGGTAGATGATCTCTAGTGGAGGTAAAGCTCTGGGGGGTCAATAGTCTCTCGTAAAGGTAGAGCACCATCAGGGGTCGACAGTCTCTCGTAGAGATAGAGCACTCGGGGGGTCAACGGTCTCTCGTAGAGGTAGAGCGCCCCCGGGGGTCGATGATCTCTCGTAGAGGTAAAGTGTCCTTGAGGGATAAATGATCATGCATAGAGGTAGAGCACTTGGGGGGTCGACGGTCTTGCGTAGAGGTAGAGCGTCCATGGGTATTGATGGCCTCGCGTGGAGCTAGAGCGCCCATTGGGGGGTCGACGGTCTTGCGTCAGCGTGTAATGCTTTACTTGCTCGTTATAGCAAGCAGTTGTCTACATCATCCAATATCAATATACAAGAATTGTAAGCTGTCAGGAAACTACACCTTTGACAGATCAAACTCAAACATGTTCCTCAAAAAATCGACTATTTGTAAAGTCTTGTTTCTGCCAAACAAGAATGAGATGTCACCTACAAGGTTATTGCGCAAAAAGTCGAGGTCAGTAAAATTCAAGTCTCCTAATGATCTTGGAACCGAACCTGTGAGTTTGTTGTGGGAGAGATAAAGTCTGGTACTTTTACAAAGGATTCTGGGATGTTACCAGTGAGTTTGTTCCGGTCTAAGTGAGGGGCTTCGAGGTTTTGGAGCAGCGAAAGTTCAGGCGGGATTGAACCGGTTAGGTCATTGAAAGATAAGTCAAGAAAATATAAGTTCTTGAGTTGGCTAAGGAATGTAGGCACCGGTCTGGATAAGTTGGCATAGCTAAGTCTAAGCAATCTGAGATTGGTTAATTTTGCAATGGCAGGTTGGATTTGACTGGTAAGGTTGGTAAGTTTCCTGAATACTAAGTTTTCGAGGTACGGAAGGTCTCCTATGGCTGATGGAATTTGGGAGGAAATGTTCACGCGGAAAAGATCGAATGTAACAATCCCATTTGTATTTGGGTCGCATCCCACACCATACCAATCTTCACAACAATCTGTCTTGGGATCCCATGAGTTGGATCGAGCAGGGTTTAGGACTTGTTTGATCTGTAAGAGGATTTTTTTCTCATTTGGATTACACTTTTCGGAGAGGCAAAAAATGAAATTTTGACTTTTAAGTCAAATAATTGCTTCTTTAAATCTGATGGCTGAAATGGCTAATGTGGGTGACAACTGACAACTGGTACCCAATGAAAATGGGGTTTTCATACTGTGTGTTCTATTGAATAAAAATGAAACAATTGTTTTATTATTCTCTCCAAAACTTGTGCTTTCCCACCCTCCAGAAAAGAATGGATTGGTGGGCTATTATTTGTTTTGTGCAATAATGAACTACGAACATTGGTCCAACATTTGATATAAATAGGGATGGATTGAAGTTCCGAACCAGATAAAAATTAAATTGAGCGATGCGGTTTGATTCTTTTTAAGTACAATTAGCTAATATCTATTAGAATCAATAACTGACAAATTTGGTTTGGTTGTTGATTCTAAACCAGAATTGAATAATGTATCTGAAAATCAAACTCATCATTTCTTTCTTTCTTCCTTTTGTTTTTTGATAATTAAAGTTGCCAAATTATTTCAACTTTTTAGGAAAAATTCAACTCATTCTCTTTGTAACCGGACTGTGCCACCCTAATTATAAAAGAGTTTCAAGATTCACTACAACTATTTTTTCAAACCAGCCCAGATATTATAATTTGCCCACATATCTAAAATTAATGAAAGATGGGATTCTTCAGTAATTACTAAAGGAGTGAAGCTCCCAGGATCTCCTATTCAGTTAACCAAAAAACTATTGACCTAAGAAGAAAATTAGGTTCAGATAATCAAGCGTATAATGAATTTGCTAGCTTAAACAAAAGATTGATTAATTCACACTGAACATTATATTGCTGATATATTGAAATTCAGATTTACACCTTGTGTAAGTAGATTTCATCCTTATTCAAATTTTCAATCAAAGCTTAAAGATGAAGGATTACATAGATGGAATTGGGTTGAGTCTAGCCACAGGGAAACAAATCAAAGGATGAGCCTTTGGAAGTGTTAGACCAGGTCCTTCTTCCATATTCACAGTCCCATTCCCTTCAACTTTCCACTCAAAACACTGAATCATGGCAGCTAAGGTTGTCTGAACAACCAGCAATGCCAAAGAAGTTCCGGGACATCCTCTTCGACCACTCCCAAATGGCAACAAATGATAATGTTGTCCCCTTACATCTAACTGTGCTTTCAAATTACCATCCTCATTCAAGAACCTTTCTGGCCGGAACTCCAGCGGATTTTCCCAGTGTTCTGGATCCCTACCAATGGCCCAAACATTGACAAAAAGTCTTGTTTTAGCTGGAATGTGGTAACCTGTGTTCAAGATAAGATTAAAATTTGTATCAGAACTGTAAACGTTAAAAGTCGTGCCACTGCCCATTTAGAAAAGTTCTGCACGTGTCAGGCATTTGATTAGAAATTGAATCGCTTGTGAAGGAGCATGTTGTAGACAATATTTAAATACCTGCAACGTTGCAATCATCAGATGACTCTCGGACAATTAATGGTCCTGTTGGATGAAGCCTTAGCGTTTCTTTAACAATGGCTTGAAGGTATGGAAGGTTTGAAATGTCTGATTCTTCTACAAGTCTGTTTTTGCCAACAACAGAATTAATTTCATGCTGGGCTTTATGCAATATGTTGGGATGGTTGATTAATTCTGCCAAAGCCCATTCTGTTGTGATTGCTGATGTATCAGTTCCTGCAGCAAATATGTCCTGTAATATTCCAACACAGAATTTTTAGTTTGTGCGGTTCTCAGAAGGAGATCCCAAGTCTGAATTGCTTGAAACAAAATTTTTCACGTAATGAACATTTTGGAATGAGAAAAGGTATTGCAGGTTACCAGGATAAAAGCTTTTATGTTCTCTCTTGTCAAACTCATCTCCGAGATCTCATTTGCTGATATGTTAAGTAAAATATCCAGCAAATCTTTTACGCCTTCTCCTTCCTCATTCTCTAGCTTCAGTTTCCGGCCTGAATTTTGATGTTCATCAATGATCCTTTCCATCATCGAGTCAAATCTGTCACGAACCTCCTTAAGCCTCTTTCTGAATCCCTGCAAATCCAAATTCTTACAAAACCAAATAAAATCCGTCAGATTAAACCTCCCAGTGAGCTCAGCAATCTCTTGAACCAATTTCCTGACATCTCCAGCTTCGTCTTCATCTTCCGAACACCTTTCACTCATAATCATTCTTGAAATTACATTATTCGTCAATCTAATAAGCTCTCCTCCAATATCAACAGACTTGCCTGCACTGGCCTTGCTCGACAAAAATTCTACAAAACTTCTCATTTCAGATCGTCTAACAGGAAGTAACAGCTCTAATGTTTGGCCACCAAGAAGTTCAGACATGCATAGTTTCTTCATGAACTTCCAATAAGGTCCATAAGGTGCAAATGAGAAGTCTTGAGAACCATATGTTAGGTAATCAACAGCAAAAATTTGTGGTCGATTGGAATAGGAACTTTCGTAAGTTTTCAAGAACTCTTTAGCCATTTCAGGTGAGGAAGCAACTACACAAGGGACTGAACCAAGAAATAAGTGAATCAATGGTCCATAACGTTGCGACAGCTTGGCTAGAGCTTGGTGAGGTATTGGTGCAAGGAGGTGGAGATGACCAATAACTGGTAAGGCTAGAGGGCTTGGAGGAAGGCCTGAAGTGCTTTGTTTTTTTAAAAATATTCGTATCAGAACAGTAGAAATAAGCCAAACGAGGAAGTAAATGACATAGTCTTGGAATTCTGCCATGGCTGAAGCTATGAATGCTTACATATACTCTTGATCTTTATATGATGGACCTTTAAAGTTATGAAAGATTTATTCAATTGGAAGGTTCATTCCTTGGGGTGTTGAGATGGATGACCTGGTAAACTAATAACATTTTACTTAAATCAGACAATGACTAAATCATCATTTATGAGTTTTTTTTTCATCTTTTTCCTAATAAAATAGGTCAAATAGACGATGACTGAATAATTGTTTAATTTTGGTCATAAATCAGAATTTTTTTGTTTGGCAGTTGGGATAAAAAGCAAGGCCGGCATTATGAAGGCCTTTTCCATTCAATGACAGAAATGTTTTATAGTATTCTGTAGTCATCATATGCTTGTGAACTTCATTTAATTCACCTTTGAACTAGCGATGGCAACCGGCAGGGGGCCCCCACCCCGCCTTAGACGGGGCTGGGCAAGGACGGGGCAAACTTTTGCCCTATTTATTTTTTTTTCAAAGTTTCGAGTTATATTGTTATTAGAGAATAAAATACAAATTCAAAATGAATTTTTAACGGGTGAATTGTCTAGAAATAAAATTATTTTTAATCTTTTTTTATTCTTTTTTTCCTTCACAAGGTGGAGCATCCTCATCCTGCCCCGCTCCGCCAACCCTTTCAGGGCAGGTTTTTTGCCGTCACTACTTTGAACATGTTTATTTCAATGTTTGTAATTGTACTCCTAACTTGAGTATTTGGCTTTTCTTAACCCCTAGACTATGTCTTAACTTCTAAGCTGAATAGAAAACGTGTTCGCTGTCTATCAATCAGGTCATTGGTGTCTCCACAAATTATTTAATCTCTTCACTCCAGGCAAGTGTTCCACGTAGAGCGGCAGCACGGCTGGGTGGCTTGTGCGTTGCCCAGCTCATAGGGGCCGTGGCAAACCCAGACCATGTCAGGCGAGCCTATAATGTATTAGGCAGAGTCCAAAGAGGCGGCACCTTGAACACTGCAACTGCTTGGTCCAAACTCTGAAGTCGGGGAAAATGTAATTTTACTAGACCTGGCCCTGTCCGAGCAAGGGTCGCCTAGCACAGATCTACTGAAAACTGGCTGGCATTCTTCAAACCTATTGCCTTGAGAGCCTCTCTTTCTGCTCCATTCAATACATTCTCAAGGAAAACATCCTTGGTAATTTTGGGACTAAAAACAGCTACAACATTAGACATAACCCAAAAAAAAAAAAAAAATTAAAAAAAATAAATCGTTACGAATAGTTACCGACATTGCTAGACTACAACTTAATGCAATCAAGATTGCCAGAAACAGTTCTCATCCTAGGTCGTAACTCCGGATCCAGCTCTGTGCAGTTTAACGCAATATGAAAAGCTGCAACGACTTGCTTCTTTGCATGAACCTCGTGCAAAAGGTCAGGGTCTATTATTTCAGACAATGGTCTTTCTTCACGGAACACCTTCCTGACAAGACCCTCAAGTGTCTTGCCACTACTTTCTGGCCCCCCATCTGGTAGTCGACCACCAGTCAGCATCTCCAAAAGCACGATCCCAAAAGAATACACGTCACATTTTTGCGTAAGCTTGCTGCCTGCAACTCGAGCTTCGGGTGCCACGTACATAACAGATGGTGAAGTAGAACTTTTAGGATTTACGATAATTTGGCTTAGGTTCTGGTTTCCCCAAGCTGCATTTGTGAGTTTAGAAGTACTGGGCACGAGGCGAGTTAGGCCAAAGCCAGAGATATAAGGTTTTAGGTCATTGTCAAGAAGAATTTTTGACGACTTTATGTTGCCGTGAATATACTTTCTAGGGCTGCATTCGTGAATATAAACAAGACCCCGTGCTGTTTCTTGAGCAATCCTCAATCTTGCCACCCATGATAGTGGAGGAGAGGAATTGTCGGGTCCTCCTGCAACATTATGGTAATAAAATTAAAGAATTGTTAGTTAACAAGCTGCAGAAGACAGGCATAACAGTGACGGTTTTTCAGGAAAAGCGAGCCATGTAAAGTTCGACGTGTAGTCGAAACTAATAGAAATAGAAACGTGAAGCACAAAAATGAATAGCTCAACAACTCATAAGAATGCTAGAATCTCAAACAAAAAAAGTTTTATGCTCTGAACAGTTATACTAGTTTGATTTTCTTAATAAATATCACAGAAATGGAAAAGTCGAATTCAATTATTCATATTCAATTGGTGTAGCCGAGCTAACAGGGAAGTACGGACCATTATAGTTAAGTAACGTCCTCTGTTGGTTCAGAGATTACATCCTCTGTTGACAATTATTTGTAATCAATTGTCCAGAAACATGTAATGGTAAAATCGTCAAAAAAGAGTTGAATTCGAGTCATGAAAAGCATTGATTTCACCAAGAAATACTGACAAAGCACAGCAGAAAGCTGGTTCACATACTCAGCCAAAAAGGGAAGAAAGAAAAGGATGGTTGCTGTAAATTATGATTGTCAATATTGTGAAAATGTCTGAATGTGGAAGCCACATCTTCGTGCATCTCAGCAGTTATTACTGTGTGGTTTATACTAGTAAGTTCACATATAAATGCCTTTTCTGAGCTTTAGCCATACATGCATCCTATCATTTTATTTTTTTCCTTTTTAGACAGTCTTTAATAATCGGAATAGCTTTCACTAATAAAATCTGATATATGCTTATTAGGTTCTCTTCGGTTTCAGGGAAAGAAAATGCTTACAAATTTTGCATTTAAATATGTGGAGGGGACATTTGTTTCATTCCGTTCCCCTTTCCTTTCTCTGGAAAGGAAAGAACCCTTACAGTTCTTTTTTGTTCTCATTTCTTTGTAACTAGTAGACAAGAATAACTAGCATGCTATGTATGATCTTCTAGGAAAGGATTAAGGACCAAATCCCAGGAATCAAACCTGAATTCTTGTAAATCTTAAAATAAACCTCAATTCTCGTATATCTTAAACTTTACTATTGTAAAGCTTTACCATCAGTTTTCAATACAACAGTTACAGGTTTTAGCTAGACTTTTTACTATCGCCTGACAACCACTAAGGTTTTTGCCTCTGTTCAGTACAAGGCACTAAAGCTTTTTTACTATTGTCCGACGGGCAATAATGGCTAAAGCTAACTTCAGTTGGTTAGTCCGATCAGTTCATGGATGATACACAGCATGTCTTTCACACAAACCCCACCTATGGATTTTATAGACATTGCAAGTAGACTCGGGTTACATGTGGGGTTCTGGCGGGATAGACCATATCCTTTAGCACGAACGATTATTAGTTTGCAACAAAATTGGTTATTGGGCGAACTTATAGTGGGTCTAAGCTTTTTGGATTCTGATAGTATGCATGTCCTAAACATGAAAAGAACCTTTTAGTCTCACTAAGTAATTACAATCACGAATTGAAAAATGTGGCAGCACATTGAGAGTGCTAAAACAAAATCATTTTGCTATATTTTAACACATTGATCATGCCAAATCGAAATTTAATTTGCAACTAAACAACAATAAAAAGTAAACAAAAGCATCAAGAGAAACAGAAGAATAATTCTTACCATGTAGTGCACTGTACAGGCTTCCATTGCAGATGAAATCAGAAACCAGCAACTTCTCATCACTGGCATAGTAATAAGCCCTTAACCTCACAATGTTACGATGCTGAACCCTGCATATGGCTTCCATCTCGTTCTCAAATTCCTTGAACCGCCACGTGGCGTCTTCCTCGCTGAGACGTCTCACTGCAACCACCATGGGACCGCCCACACCAGATCCTCCCCCCTTGACAGCTCCACCCACTACCACCTTGTACACTATCCCACTCCTGCTTTTCCCAACAACATAAGCAGATGCCCTCAACAAATCCTCTAATTCCAAACCAAACCCTTCATCCACCAAAACAAATTTACCTTTTTGCCCCTCCTCCTCCTCCTCACTCCCCATCCCCAACTCCTTGCTCACGTTTTCCTTTCCCGTTTTGTCCTCGGCCATTTTCCATTTTCTCCTAGACATCCACACTGAAACAACCCCTATCCCAGCCAATACAGAAAAGGCAGCTATCACCGAAACTGTGAGCGACCCTCTTTTTACCTTTTTACCCTCTGCAAATCCATTTGAAGAAACTCCTGGATTCTGTGGCTTTACCGGCTTGGTGAAAATTATTGGATTCTGAGCTTCAGGCATTGTGCATTGGCTGTTCAATGGAAATCCACAAAGATAAGGATTTCCAGTAAATGCAGTGGGGCCCTGACTCAAAAGTGACCCCATCTCAGGGATTTTTCCACTGAGGTTGTTGTGCCGGAGATCCAGGCTGACCGTCACAGGAAACCTGCCAAAACTCGCCGGGATCTCGCCGGAAAATTCGTTGTATGAAAGATTTAAAGTCCCTGTTAACTGGGTTAAATTGCTTAGGCTCTGGGGCAGTGTACCATTGAACTTATTTGAAGATAAATCGAGATGAACAAGTTTCTGAAGGGTTGCAATATGGTGTGGCAGGGTTCCACTGAGATAATTGTATGAGAGGTCAAGAGAAGTAAGAAAAGAGAGTGCACCGATCTCTGAGGGAATGTAGCCTGCGAGATTCTTGTTGGAAAGAGAAATGGAGGTTACCTTTTGGTGGGTGTGATCACAGGTGATCCCGTTCCACTTGCATGGAGTTGAATCTGAATCAGACCAAAAAAAGAGAGCTTTTAGTGGGTCTTCTGTAATGGCTGCTTTGAGGGCCAAGAGTGAGAGACCATCTGAATTCAACGAGAAAGTTGAAGAAATGGAGAACGTGAAGAAATAAAGACGCATAATTGAAGTAATAATGTAGGTAATCTTCATGGTTTATAGATTGAAAAAATTCAATCTTGGAAGGAAAAGAGATTCAGTGGATTGAATAAAGATTCAGTCTTTACTGTATCTGAAGATAATAATTCAAAGATCCTTCAATAAATGTTCAAACTATGCCGACGAAAGACAGTTAATTGTTCGAATGGTCACTGAACTTAAATTTATTTTTTTTATTGGTCACTAAAATTTAAAATATCGAGTTTTGACTGCTGAACTTATATCTATGTCTTTGATTGGTTACTGAAATTTAAAATATCGAATTTTGATCATTGAACTTAGATCAATGTTTTCCATTGCTCACTAAACTTAGATCCATGTCTTAGATTGCTCACTAAAATTTAAAATGTCCAGTTTTGACCAGTAAATTTTGAAATATGCCGTACGTTGCTTACTAGCATAACTGTTGAATTTTGAAAAATATCAAATTTAAAGTGAGTAATGTACAACATTTTTCAACGTTCAGTGAGTAATGTACAATATTTTTCAAAATTTAATGAGGAATGTACAATATTTTTTAAAGTTCAGTGGTCAAAATTCGACATTTTAAATTTCAGCGAGCAATCGAAAACATTGATCTAAGTTCAGTGGTCAAAACTCTATAATTTAAATTTTAGTGAGCAATCGAAAACATGAACCTAAGTTCAGTGACTAAAACTCGATATTTTAAATTTCAGTAAACAATCAAAGACGTGAACCTAAGTTCAGTAATCATTGAAACAATTAACAAGAGGAAAGAGCTTCTTCCTTTTTTCCTTTTTTTTTTTTGGTTTTTAAGACAATCCTTCCGCAACCAAGAGTTGTACAGAAAATTGCAATAGTATATGAGCGAGCGAGTGCAATTCTTGATTTTTGTTTGTTTGTTAAGTTTGGAAAGAAATTGGATGGTTTTTCGAGGAGACTAATAAGAGTGGAGTAATGTGGCTACGAAATTTGAATTTTGTTTGACTAATGTTGGCTACTATTTGTTTGAATTTATTGTTGTTATTGGGATGTGTTTTTCGCTATTCAATTAATTAATGTGGGATTTTTCAATTGAAGGGCGGAATTCTGGGATTGCATTGGGCTGGAAGTACAGACGGAGAAGTAGATTTATTTTTTGTATTAATTGCACAGGAGGTCACTGAACTTTTACCTTAGTTGCAATTCTTATTCAACCAAGGACACATGCCCAAGATTTGCCTTTTCAGAGAATCAAATTCCATTAAGGGGTATTTCTGTAAATGTAAAGAGTTCTGAAGATTCAAAATCGATTAAAAGGACATCTAGAAAGAAGCAAAAAAGTGGTGGGTGATGTTAGGCAAAGGACAAAAATGAAAAAACTTTGCTGAAATCAAATTGGAAAAGGGGCAAAAAATGAAGAAGATGCAATTAGGACAGGAATCGGACTGACAAGAAAATTTATTTAAAAATAAAAGAAAAGAAAATTAGTGAAGTAAATATTAAAGTAATTTTTATTATTTTAGGTTGCTAAAATTTATAGATTAGAAATACAAAATTTGTGAAAATTTAGTTAACATTTTTGGTTCAAAGTTTCCTTTGAGCATTATCGAAAATTCTACGAAGTTTTCAAATATTATTTAAAAAATAAAAATATTTATTTAAGTTCTCAAAACCATTCCTTGAGATTCTTAAATGTTCCAATTTTCAAATGTGTTAGAAAAAACTGTTAGGGTCTATTTGATAGTATTAAATTCCATGAAAAATATCACATTCGAGAAATTCGTTTTCTATTTTGACTGTTTGATACGAAAGTGAAAATGTAGTTCGAATTTAAAAATACAAACACTTAAAGCATGTTTTTTGCCAATTGAGTGAAAATCAAATTTCTATGATTTTGGTGATTTTTTCTTTTTCAACTTACATGGAATTTGTTTGTTTTTTCCAGTTTACGATCAAACAGACCCTTAATCTCTAAAATGTTTTCGTGCTAGTTTAGCTTGGGAAATTTGTTTCAGACTCATGAGAATTTTCAGATATCCCTATTATTTCTATATGGTTGCTATTTGGTTAGCAATATGATAATTATTTCGATTTTGGCCCAAACAGTTAGATATTGGGCTAGCAATAAGTGATTACGGCCCATCTTCTGGGGAAATACCCCATTAAAATAAGTATTTTGACTTAGAAAATTCTACTTATACATAATTATTGCACATAATGTTGTCCATAATGTGATATGACAATCATTCGACTGTTGATGTGCAAATGTGATATTTGAATCAAAAGTTGGATCCAATGCCACGTGTAATTATGGATACAATTATATAGAATATTATGTACATATAGCACTTCCCTTTTGTTAATATATTTTAAACTAATTAAACATTTTAATCAAGTAATAATTACGTCCTATCATATCCTAAACTATTAACTAAAACTCCAACCCAAAGTAACCCTATAGAAACCCACTTATCCTCCTAAGAAACACTCCACTCCAAAGGCGATTTCCCTAACTCCGAGAAACCTCAATGTGAAATCTTCATTTTTCTATCAATTTCATCTCCGTCTTCCCCCGCCTCTGTTTGTCTTCAATCTTCTCCTTCTTATTTCGTAGAGATCTTAAACACTGACCCTAAAAACTTCAAACTGTCGAAACCATAGCATGTTCCGATCAAATTTCAGAAATTTGTGTCCGATTTCGACTTATTCATTCAATGCCAATGCCGTCGCCGTCGCCAACTCCTATTTCCACAATGGCTGGAGAAAGTGGGTTGAAGAAGAAAAAATATTGATGAAGAACCATTTTCAAAGAAGAACAAAATTTCTTCAACATCTTATAAACATAAGGTAGCATTAATTTTAGGAGAAGAGTGTCAATTCAGTTTCCCCTCTTGTGTATACATTATATTTTTAGTTCCTTGTTGGGAAATTGACTTTCTGATTTCGATATTTGTATGTGATGCTATGCCTTCTCGAAATTTTCACACCTTCCAAGTTTCCTTTTTGTTTTGTGTAAAAACAAGTGATAGAAGAAAATTTAGCAAGGAACATAAAGTAAGGCAATCGAAGAAATTCTTCCGATCCAGAGGAAAAAAGCTCAATAGAGGAAAGAGTTCTAGCACTGTTAATAGAAGTTGGAAAGCAATGTTGTTGCTACAAATGATATTTCTTTCCTCTACCTTCTTGAACTTAAGGTGTGTTTGATAGGGACAATTCCATGGAAAATGGAATTCATTTTCCACCCAAATTGTAGCGTTTGATATCACACTTTTTCCATGAAATTCATTTTCTTGATTGTCTTGAAAGTTGTTCTTTTCTTAGTTTTCCTTGAAAATCAATTCCCACCAAATATGGTGGGAATTGGTTTTCCATCTTACTTTGACGTTTTTTTTTTCTTTTTTTTTTTTTTTTTTTTTTTTTTTTGTAATGAAAATAAATTTTAAGAATTATTGTAAAAAAATATTTCCCTTTAACTGACAATTTTTATGTAAAACAAAGACAAACGAACAATAAAATATAGATGATTTTCTTGATTTTTTTGTTGACAATGGAAACAAATTTCATACCCAATATCAGTAAATTCTATCCCTTTAATTGACAATTTTTATGTAAAATAAAGCCAAGCGAACATCAAAAACACTTTTATTTTAACATTTTTCACGTGAAAAATTATACCAATCAAACACAATAATTTACAATTCCTAGGAAAATAATTTCTAGACAATTCAATTCCCTGAAATTCGTGTTCAATTCAATCTTTACAATCAAATGAACCCTTAATAATACTTGAAATTTACTTTTTAAGTCTTTAGTGATTTTATAGCTTTCATAACAAGTTTGTAAACAGCCTTTGTAACTGTTGTGAGCATCGCTTGTTCTTGTTGGCATGCTTGAAGCTTATGAGGAACTATAAAAAGAAATGACGATAAATGCAATTGTGTTTGAATCTACGATAAGGAAAATGAAAGTGATTTTAGCATGAGGCTTGACTTGAGTGATGAAAGAGGATAGTGGAACTGAAGAATTGGGTTTGTCTGGGGGGCATAATGAAGACTAATATATGTTGTTTTGTGGGTTGGTTGATTTCATTGGGATTGGGATGCCTTAAACGCAAAAGCTATTATGTAGGGTTGCTACTTTCCTCTTAGTTTTGGGGTGTGGCTTTTCTCTGTGGCTGATGAAAAATTTAGTGGGGCCTATTCAAAAATCAGGGCTATGAAATACACACACTCTCACTTAATTAACAGGTAAGCTGATGCACTTCTTCATGCTTCTTGGTGATCAATTGATTCTTTCCATTTTACTGTTCTTTGATGCATCAAATTTTTCTCTTTTTGATATAGTTTGCTACCTAAAATAAGAAAATTTATAGTAGGTTGAGAACATTAAAATAATTATATACATAAGTCAAATTTTTTTTTTTACTTTCTAACCACACATTCTCAAAAAATTCACTATTCAAAAATGCATTTTCTCTTCAAAATAAGGATCAAACACGAGCTAAATTATTGAATTGGCATGAAAGGGTTTTAAATGAAATGAAACTTAAAATAAGGAATAAATTCAAAAGCCATTTTTTCTCACCCATAAACTAGTATACTACAACATTTTATATCACTTTTCTTGGATTTTTGTCACTTTTTTTACACTTATGTCAATTTTTTAAGTTTATGTCATTTTTTAATGTGTCACTTTTTTTGAATGTTTATCACTTTTCAAGTGTTTACAAAAGTGATTCATGCTCATACATACGGTCACAATGTGATTGTTTTTTAATATAAGAATTTTGTTTGCATTTAAGTTTCGATCACCTTTTAAATTTTTTTTTCACTTTTTTTTTAGTGCTTATCACTTTTTTTTTAGTCACATTACTGATTTTTATCAATTTTTTAGTGTCAAACATCACTATTAAATAAAGTGACATTGTATGTCATTTTTTAATAAAAAAGTGACATTTAACTTTTGATTTCTATGCCCCCTCACTTTTTAGAATCTGTGTAATTTTTTTAAATTTGTGTCACTTTTTTAAATTCGTCATTTTTCTTAAGTTTCTGTTACTTTTTTGAGTAATTCTCACCTTTTTTTAAAGTTTTGTCACTTTTTTTTTTACTATATGACATTTTTTTCAATCGTCTTTTTGAAATTCT